GAAAGACATCTATCGAAAACAAAACATGTTGTTTACTTTGATATATCGAAAGTTGTACGTATTTCACGAGTCTTTTAGAAGCTATTTAAATGCGTAATCAATGCACAAGTATCTATGAATATAATTGATGCAAAAAACGTGGAATTTCATTCCGTGAAATGACGTTAACATGTTTATACTACGAAAGGTAGATTAAAACAACGCACCAATTTTATTCCTCTTTGAAGTTAATGATAATATGGGGACTGTTACTAGATAAAAGTTGTAGAATTGTAGAGTTTGAGTACCGCTTAATTTAATTTCTAATAAAAATATTAATACGTATGAAACATAATATATAAATGGAAGATGGAAACATTTATTGTTGTAATTATTTTATATTTTAATAACAATTTTCACTACTAATAACAATTTTCATTCACACAATTATGTGTGTACGTATTTGAAGTCAGAAATATCCCTATATAAGAAAGGTTTAATTTTTTGTGCTTAAAATTATTATTTACCATTTTCTTTTAAATGAAGTTACGAATGCAATTACTGTAAAATCTTTTATATAAGATTTTAAAGAACTCGATCAATATTTACAAAACTTTTGTCACAGAACAGTATGCAAGTGTAGACTTTAGACTACGGTGTCTATGCATCCGGCATTGTCTCGTCATAAACAATGCACAGGATAGACAAATCATTTCATGGACTTTGGTGGCACATCGTGACTGTCATACCGACGTAGAAACGCAACCACAGATTTAGGATCCGTACAGATATTATATGCAATGCTTTTTCTTGTCTCGAGATCTGATTTACCGACTCTGTAGAAAATGCTGTGGTTCGATAGCACCCCTATCAAGGTAGGGGGAAAAATAAACAGAAAAATGGAAATAAAATAACTATGAGAAAGAAAGAAGAGCCAATCGGGTTATATTAGCGGAAGTAACCCCGCCCGCTGAAGATTGGAACCGATGAGTAGTTTCATGAAGATGCTAGGCAAAAGCAGGTTAAAAAGAAAGAAACAGAAAGACTGAGAATAAGACTAGGAGGAAACTATATAGTACAAAGAATGTAGGAAATAAGATGATATAGATAACAATAGAATTGGTTATGGTTATACACACAAGAAGATAATGTTACAATACAGTCTATAGTTTATACCACATATGTAAAGGGTATAAAGGGCAAAATGTATTTTTTTAAAATTTTAATTTAAGATAAAGAGTATATTATTTTATGTCACGTTAAAAAAATTGTAAAACTATATTTGTATACAGCGAGGAAACAAAGTAACGAGATTTTAAATGAAATGATATATGGAAGGGATAATAGAGTAAAAGGAGCAGGAGGCTCCTGTCACTGTCAGAAATGAACTCTAAGCTGCAACGTTTTTTATTTAATATGCTTATATTAAACAATTATGTGGTTATTCGTTGACTTGTTCAAAAATCCATTTTTAATTATTTTACATATTCGCTTCTTGCTAACGTGCTTATTTTTCGTGAACTATCGGTAACGCCGAGCGCGACACGAAATGGTAAGGGGGCTCTAGAGCCCTCCAAAACTGAGACAGAAAATGCAATGTCTGTACGGATTCCAAGTCTGTGATGCAACGCTGATTTCAACGTCCTCTGCTCATAGACAACGGTCACTTCGTGAAATATTTGTAACGAGCTACTACAAACTGAACAGCACTCGTGTGCAAATGTGGTTTGTTTCTATGCTAAAATACTCCTCCCCATTCCGGAGTCGCGTTCAACGTTACCGATAGTTCACGGATTTAGGCACGTAGCAAGGAACAAATATCTTATATACTTCATTTTTACTATGGGAGTTGAATATTTTTGGAGGCAACGAGTGTATTCGGCGCGAATATTTGGATGGTGGGAATAGTATTTCTGAAACTTGTAGTACAGAAATACGATATAAAGAGTAATTATTTTTATGGACAGTTGTGCTATTATTTATAATAGAAAATATCTTTTGTAATAAAAGATAGAATACAGGAATAGTTTCATTTACTTTTCTTTTCCAGAAGGGCATTTACAAGATTAATAAATTTATAAGTTCTACAGTGCTACAGCATTCTTTTTAAACCTTGACGAATAATATTTCACGATATTTTAAGTTTGATATTTATTTTTATGTATTTTTCATTTTCTAATATCATCTTTCAAATAGTGATGGAGACACTGTTTTATTATATAATGTAGTATTATTTATTACAGACACATATATATGCAGTTTCTTTTTACCATTCCCTTTTTCGCTCTCATCGTTACCGTTACGTTTGATATTTATTTTTATCTAAGAAGAAATGCACGTCCCTAGAATGTCAATGTTATGTCACGGTTACGTTCCATGGTCGTCCTGTGCTATCTGGAAAGTAGATACATAATTTTCTCACTAATTAAGATTATGTCATACGATTTCGTTTCCTGAAAAAAATACGATTAATATTTTAACGGGTCTTTGTCCCCAAAGGGCAGAAGTCGTTGTACTAAACAACGTGTCAGACGTGTCATCTATGTTTTTATGTAGATTTCGGACATAATCTACACGATATGTAATATTGTGTAGATTCTAAATAAAAATGGAATTCAATTTTTCTGTTGTCGATATTTGGCAATTGCAATTAGCGTAAACATACAATAAAGAGACAAAGACAAAAAAAAAGAAGTGTTAATCAACATAGCTATGAAAGAAATCGTAGTGCAAGGGTAAAACATCGAAGCTACTGTTACAAGTTTTACTTAGGATTCGGGATTCTTTTTTCACATCTACCGACAACTAAAAGTGACTAACGCGTGTTGCACCGTACGAATTACGAAACTGGATTTCTTTAGATTTTGCACAATTTTCATTCTAATTTATCCTTAAATTAAGGAATCCATTCGATATCATTTCCTATAAAAAGTCTTTACAATGTCAACGATCAATAAAAACTGTGTAACCGGTCAAGATGACCGGCATGGTTTGTTTCAGCATGAGCATTTAAGCTAAAAGCGTTAATTCCCAGGATCAGTTCATCGTGAAAATTTGCTCCTCGTTCGAGCACGAGCTCGTCCCATATTCGGTGTACAAGATGGAAAAAGCATACCGACTTCGCGAGGAATCGTGGAACGTACGAGAAGAAAAGGGCGAAAGATCGTAGTCGAGCGAAAGAGGAAGCTAGAAGGGCATGAAGCAGCGAAACACAACTGGAAAACCAATATGCCTTGTGCGTCGGTATGCAATTAAAGGGTCGAGAGAGTTTACTGTCGATATTTTTCAACCAGCAATTATTGGAATCTTTTCGTTGCCCCCCTCACCCCTTTCGCTGATACAGCGAGGGTATAACCGGATCGGGGCTCACCGGCCACGATAGGCCTGCAGGACTCTTCTGCATGGAGAGCCCTTCAGGAGCGGACAAATGCGGCCACTATATGCACTTATGGTTCTTTCCACGCTTTCATTAAAAATTGGACTCCGCTCTCTAAAGCACCTCCTCTGCTGCTCCGTCTCTCTCTCTCTCTCTCTCTCTCTCTCTCTCTCCTGTTCCCGGTTTCTATCGCAGTTCAGCTTCCCCTCCCCCCTCGCTCTGTCTCTCTTTCTCACTCTGTTTCCCCTCTATTCTTTCATCCATTCGCCGGTCTAGCCTCTTTCCTCTCCCTCCCACGGTGATCCTTTTTTTGCCACTTTTCGTTCATGTAGATCGCCAGGATATAGCTCGATGTCAGTCATATTCGGGCGGGGGCTCTGGATATTCATCTTTGTTCGTCCGGCAGAGCCGCAGTTCTCGCGCGCGCTCGCGCACGCCGTTGAAAATGATTTCCTCCGGTATTCCGCGCGGGCATTTCGGCCTCTTCAACCATAATTCGGATACCGGATACCTGGGCTGAATTGCAAATAACCACGGTGTCCCCGACCAACCCCCGGCCGCCGCGAAACGTTTGTCTCACGTCAAATTGTCCGCGACCAGCCGGGTCTACGGGCGCCGCTATCGTTCTGCATTCCACGGAACAATCGGCCCTGGATTTGATTAACGTTATCACCTCTTCACGGTCTTCCGACATTTTAAGACGCGCCCCGTAACGCGTCGATCGGTAAAAATCTGTCGACGAACCCGTCAGAAGTCTTTGTTGCCCTATTTTTCTCGCCAGAATCGAATATCGTCGCCGGCCTCGGTTGTTGAAACAATTATCGGAAGCGAAGCGATTTCGTGATATTGGTCCGATAGAATACTTAATGCTCTTAAGAGGCAGGCTGCGCACACTATGACAACCCACGCATAGAAGAAGAGTCGTATACGTATATTAGTTTTAATGTACGTTTTATATTGGTTTTTCTATACTATATTACTATACTCTATAGTATACTATAGTATACTAAAAACGGATATTTCTACAACCGAAGCCCTCGAGTTTAGTCTTTTCGGAATCTAAATTTTCCACTTGTGAACTGCACACTTCGATATTAAAGCGTCAGTTTTAAAACTAATATAGTAAATAGTAAAATATAGTATAGTAATATATTATAGTATACTATATATATACTATATATTACTATACTATATATTATAGTATACTATATATATACTATATATTACTATACTATATATTATAGTATACTATATATATACTATATATTACTATACTATATATTATAGTATACTATATATATACTATACTATATATATTTTACTATTTACTATATTAGTTTTAAAACTGACGCTTTAATATCGAAGTGTGCAGTTCACAAGTGGAAAATTTAGATTCCGAAAAGACTAAACTCGAGGGCTTCGGTTGTAGAAATATCCGTTTTGCAGTTATTGCGAAGATATTTGCAATATTCGGCCAGAGTGGTGTCAATCTCACGAGCATGACGATGGTCGACGATGGCCGCCGCTAACAGTTTTTCGTAAATATCGAGAGATTTAGAGCTCGAATCGAAAATCGTAATGCTTCCTTTTCTGCGAAAAGTTTCAGAAAATAGTTCTCTACGTTTAGGATCGTTTCTGTTTAACTGCATATTACAACCGACGAATGCCACGCGAATGATTGTTACACAGCACAATTATGTGCACTCTCCTAAATGAAACAGCATATTGTTTTTTTATAACGTTATAAACATCTAGACACGCGCGATATGCGAACGTGTACATTAGCTAATTTGTTTGGAAAGCAGTTGCTCGATAAAACGTCACACGAGATTGTTTATACAAATATTTAACGAGTTCTCTGCTATTTTCTACAGTAATTTGACACAGCATTTTGAAAGTTAAGATCGTATAAGATAAGCTCATTTTTATTTGTCGTTTTACATTTCAATTATGTTTCTAATCAAATCGACGGTGGCACACGTCGCGACGATTTATGGATATTTTTCTATAATGTTCTTCAATAGCGTTTCAATTTGAACGCAGTTCTCTTTTTTCCTTTTTTTATCGACGCGTTCGTAAAATCGACGGTGGAACACCAGTATGAAAAAGCCACTCGATTTTCGTGAGTTCGATCGACAAATGCATCTACAATCGACCTATCCTGCGTTATACGCACGTACACGAGCGTGTTACGTGTTTGTACATACATATGTACGTTATCAAATATATTGTTCGCAGTAGAAAAGAAATTGCAGCTGCACCCCGAAATTGCGCACTACATCGGACAATAGCCGCGCATTCCC